AAACACATGACACTAAAAACAAATCTAATGTTAGCGTATCTTATGAATTATGAAACACATGGCACTAAAAACATCTAATGTTAATATATCTTATGAAATATGAAACACATGACACTAAAAACAAATCTTATGTTAGTATATCTTATGAATCAAGAAACACATGGCACTAAAAACATCTAATGTTAGTATATCTTATGAATCAAGAAACACATGGCGCTAAAAACAAATCTAATGTTAGTATATCTTATGAATTATGAAACACATGGCGCTAAAAACAAATCTAATGTTAGTATATCTTATGAATTATGAAACACATGGCGCTAAAAACAAATCTAATGTTAGTATATCTTATGAATTATGAAACACATGGCGCTAATAAACATCTAACGTTAGTATATCTTATGAATTATGAAACACATGGCGCTAAAAAAACCCACACGTTCATTTTCTATTTTTCTCCTCACACACACGCACAAAAAATATGGCATATCGTTTATTAAACTTATCGCAGTTTTTAGATAAGATTATTCAACTATCCGTATAATATTTAAATTCTCTTGTGTGTCTTTTATTTTATTTTATTTTTTTAACTTAAGACTTTAGTGCACGAGTCTTTTGTGCATACATACTCAATTTTTGGGCAAGTACACTGCGTGATTTTTAATTTTTTCATTTAATTTGCGTTTACTTTTCATAAGCCAGCCACCCCTCTCCACCCCCCACCCCCCACACACACCGGTGGCTCAACGGTAAGTCTATGAGCTTATAACGCTAAAAATCGGGTTTAGATACCCGCGATGGTCAGATCGCGGTTGTGTAGCTTCGTGCTTAGTAGCAACAAATTTTTGATAAGCCAAATCTACAAAAGTATATAACATAGACGTGTTTCGTTCAGCACGCATGCGTATCACTAATAATGCTGTATAAATAATTATATGAAACACGATAACAGAGTCGCGAATTTTGCAATTCATCTCTCTATATGTAGAAAGAGTTTATTCGACTTCACTCATATATATATATATATATATATA